ACCCCCCCAGCAGACCAGGGGGACAGGAGCAAAGCTGCCCAGGCGGCGGGACTCCTGCCGCCTGGGCGGCTTTGCTCGGGTGTTCCTGGTCTGCTGGGGGGGTCCAGCGGCTTTGCTGGACCCCCCCAGCAGACCAGGGAGACCGGGAGAAGCTTTTCTCGCCCCGGAGGACACGGGTGGCGACCCGCCGCCCGTGAGCTCCGGGACGAGAAAAGCCCCGTTCGTAAGTGCGGATCCGACATAAGTTGGATCCGCATAAGTCGGGGACTGCCTGTACTCCTGTACTTTGCTGAATTGACGTCTAAAGAACCAGACATTAAATTTAGATGAGGCAAACAAGTGGGAGGTAGTGTGGATGTTTTAGCATAGGTTCAGTGAAGAGCACAATTTTTAGCCAGTTAGAATCAATGTGGTAATTTTTAATTAAATCAAGATGGTTGATAATGTTACTAATATTTCATTTTTTTTAATTGCCGGGGTTGTAACTTTAGGAAGAGAGAGGTGGTATCACACAGTAATAGACTTTAAGCTTGTCAACACAAAGTTGCATCAGTTTAACCAAAAGTATGGTCTTGGAAGTGTACAACTGTGTGTGAAGAGCAGGTGTTTCTCCTTGGTCTAGCAAGCATTGACATTTCAAGTGCTAGGTTTTATGTGGTTGCAGTAAATTTTAAAACTGCAGCACATGCTAGTGATAAGTTACTGTATTTGAAATAAACAAGACCATTTCAAGCACTTGGTATAAGGAGAGAAAAGGTAGGATTAGAATTCGTATGACAATTAATATATAATTTTAAATTTCTAGATAGAATATTTGTGCATCATTCATCTAAATGTTTTAAAAGCATAATTTTAAGTGTTGTGACTTTCTTTTAAAGTTTTCTGGGCACTTGTAGTTGTTCTCATATCCTCCAGCTGAGGGTTGCTCTCAGCTTGTGCTAGCATAAATAGGAATGCTAAAACTGAATGGCTTTTAAATGTATTTTCTGTTGAGCAGTAAATAGATTCTGAATTACAACTTTGCCTATAGCAATGTCCCCAAATGTCACAAAGGAAGAATGAGTTTATATGAGGTAAAACCTACTTAGATTGCATTACAACTAGCAGCATTTAACAAAAATGTCTACAAGCATTGGCACCAAGCTCATTTGTTCTGATAAAGCTTTTCTAACATTTTTTTTCTTACACTGGATAGTTGTGGTAATTGCACTTTTTCCACCCATACTTCTCAGGGAAGCAGTTCATCACAGCTTCTGTCTTGGACCGTTCAGCCACTTTTTGAAGTGATTCCAGCTCAACCAGAGCTAGTGTTTCTTCATCCAACCACCTCTCCTCCCATTAACTCTCGTCTTGTTGGTGAAAAGGGAAGTGACTCTACAAATTACTTGTCTATCCTGAACTTCTACACAAAGACAGCACCACATCCCTGCAAAAGAGATTGTGTCTTGTATCTGGAGGGAAGAGGGAGAACCAGCGGATAGAAGTGGCTTTACACATATACTGCTATGTGCAGTAATACTAGTGTTTTTCCCCAAGTATCACCTGACTGTAAGCCTGCTCAGGACTCTACTCAGCAGAGTTCTCCAGGTTTGGTGGCTAGTGAAAAAATGTCAACCATTGATGGTTTTCAGTATATATCTACTGACAATCAGAAGGCCCCAGGTTTGATGCCCTTTTCTCCTACTGGACTCCTCCACACATCAAACTGCACATCTCCTGAGATGGAGAATCCAGTACATCATATCATGCAATTTGCAACCTACAATCCATCATTGGCAGCAGAAGAACTTTACACTACTCCTGACCTATTGTTGCATCAGCAAAGCAAGCGCAAGCGCTTTCAGAATACCTTTGTTGTGTTGCATAGGTCTGGATTGCTGGAGATCACCTTGAAAACAAAGGAGCTGATTCATCAGAACCAGATAACACAGATTGAACTGGACCGACTGAAGCAGCAAACACAATTGTTCATGGAGGCAATAAAGAGCAATGCTCCTGAAGCCTGGGCAGAGCTAGAGGCATCTCTAACAGGGTCAGATAAAGCTGACAGCATCCTTCAGGCTTCTCCTACATATCCTAGCATATAGTACAAAAGATATATAGCTGTTCAAGGGATTGCTGTGCCTCATTTCCTTTGTCTCAAGCTTTTACAAAAGCATTTTCTAAGTTTGAGACTGCTTTAAAAACTCATTCACAAAGCAGCATACCATTAATAAACTGTCCCAAATGCCAATTATGACATGGCATAATGGTAGACCTTGGCAGGAATTAGCACTGCTTCATGTGACCAAGAGCTGAGTAACTGTGCGCTTCTTTGGACCATGTAGGTGTGGAAGTGCTGTGATATGTGTTCCCACTCTTCTGATGAAGAACATTGCAAATGGCTCTTTCCTAGCAAGCACCTTTTTTTATCCTTCTCCCCCCCTCTCCCTTCCTTGCTCACGCACGCGCCCATCTCCAGACAGCCAATTCACAGACTGGGGAAAAAATACCTGGTCTAGTGTAGCCACTTATGAATGTTGGGAAAGAGGAAACTTGACAGGTAACATGGTATATCTGGCTTTGGGTTAGTACTCCAAAGACACAAGGTGGCCTTGCTTTTGGATAATCACCACATTGAGCAAGTGGAGTCCTGCTTGCATTTAAGCGGCGCTCCAGTCCATAGCTTGAGCAAGCAGGAGAGGGGGAGATATTAGAAACAAATGTAACAAGTAGTTCTAAGCAAGCCCTGTCAGCCTGCCTATTTTAGCTTCTTTAAAGTTGAGAGCTGGGTGAAAACCTGAAAGCACTAAATCTGCACTGGAAGTATTTATTTCAAAGCAAGTTTATTTGCATTGCTCATTAATGGCAAACAACTGTACTAAGCAAGGTGACTTTGGATTTCCCAGGTATGCAATGAGACAAACACTGACTGTTACTTTTTTTAAAAATCAGCTCTTATGGGATTTTTTTAGTTGTCAAACAATGAAGATTCATAGATTCTAAGGCCAAAAGAGAACAATGTGATTAAATCGTATGACTTCCTTTATAATACAGGCTATAGCACTTCCCCAAAATATGTTCCTTGCTAGGCAGCTAGCAAGATCAACTATGCATCCTTTGGTCTTGATCCTGTTTAGGAGAGACTCTATTCGGGCTGTGAAATCATCTTGCTAAGATTAAAGAAGGAGAAAAATGGTTATACAAGTTCTAAAGTGAAACAAGCCCCGTTTCTTATAAGAAACATCTGTGTGTCACTAAAAGGGACTCCGGGCACCTTGTGACAACGTCACAAGAATATGACCTGAATTATATTGAAAAGAGCGTTAAATGTTCAAGGTGAGTATTATCATTTCCAACCTTCCTATCTTGAAGCCTGCACTCACACAATGATTCTGGTATAGGTTGAACCTCTCTAGCTCTCTTTATTTTTATTTCACCATGGTGAATAAACTGAACAGTACTTGTAACGCTGCTTAGTAATGTATGATTGTACTGATACACCATATACAAGGCTTATCAGCTCTCTTCATAACAAAGTGTTAATGTTGTTATACAATTTTACTGTATTGGTACAAGGAAGTAAATAGATAAAGCATAAAAACATGCTTACATTTAGTGGCATTTCCAACGCTTCCACTGCTTACTGGTCTCTTAGAAGACATTTAGGGGTAAATTAGAGTTAAATAACAGCACAGAACACTGAGAGCCACGACTGGTGGCTGTAAACAAACTTTATGGGCCTGCAGGAAACTTGGCCACACCCATGATAAGTGGATATCCAGCTAACTAAAATCATGCCGAATCACAGATGTTGCCAATCCAGAGTGTACTGGACTGTAGAGGCATTAGACTTATTGTCAAATGAACTTGGCAATCTTGTTTCAAACGCTGTTCTACAGACACATTCGTATTGTTTAAATTTAACTTGTCACTCGTTTGTATTCCCTTCAACATGAGCCATGTCTTTCAAATACTCCTGTATAATCTAAGAATGAGTAATCTAAGCATGAAGTGAACCATCTCTCCCATACTAAATTATATGATCAGTGTTTGATCCCTTTGATTTGACAATGGCTTTCAAACTAAACTTGTATTTAATGTGATCAAGTATTACTTGGACATTCTTATATTTTCTGCATGAATTTCAGTTTCTCATAAAGAAACCTAAATTATTTTGATTTAAAGTTTTAGAGTTGGCCTTTTGTCTTTAAAATTCAGTGACTTGATTCTTTCACCCTTCTCATGGTCTCAGATGAACATTGCAAGAGGCCCTAAAGAATTCTCCTACAGCATTACTGTAACAAATGCCTTAGAAAACTTTTTGGAGGTAGGAAACGAGACTTCTCTTTTCAGCACTTTACTTAGCTAACTGAAAAGGAATTGCATACATGCCTCAAGGGGGGTAGAACATGGAAGTCAAGCATGGACTGGCCTCTGGAGCTACAGAGAGATTTCCCAGATGGCTGCATGACTCTGTCCCTCTCAAAATCCAACTGAATATAGTTAAGCACAATTCCAGCTGTCGGGTAGAGTACCACCAAAGAAAGTGGGGGAGGGGTGCAGAAGATTAGAATTTGGCCAGAGTTTCCTGTGTTGCCTCACGTTGAACTTAGCTTGCTATGGTTAACACGTTGCATAGTGATACCAAATTCAAACAAGAGGCTACATATGGCAGCAGGGCATCACATGGTCTTGGCCAAATACTGAAACACCTGAATCCACTAGAGTATCACAACCAAAAGTTACTACAGTGGAACTACCACCACCTCCTTTTTGAAAGGGAGTAAAGGTTGGTCCTTTGATCAGAGTGTTCCAAGTGCTTGTGTATGACACTGGGAGGGAGGGGAATAAACATATGAGCCACCTGGTCCTACTGTGAGTTCCTTTTGTTTCCTTGGAAGCTCTTCTTCTCCCATCTGAGATTGTGTAGACCCTAATTATTAAGAATGATTGTTCTGGAAAGTGAAGTAATGGATCTAGAATGAATTGTGGATATTTTAGAGATGAAAGGAATGGAGGATGACAAAAACTCAACTGGAGGTGTTTTAAAGTAAGCGAGAGAGGGCTCCCACTTGCTCTGCTGGGGTGGAGCAGATAGGCCAGAAAATTACCCTAACCAGGGTATAATCTATTTGCTAATGTAGGAAAACTCCTAGACAGTGTAAATCTGCTGTAGTTTGCACATCACAGGCTCTCACAGGCAGTGGGTTAAAGTGGTATGCTCAGAGCTGATGGACCTTTCTAACTAGTGTAGTCTTATATAAAATATATGTGAATGTAATAAAACTATGAATAGAAGTTCAACAATTGCTTAGAAATCACACTGGCAGTCAGAATCTAAACTTCTTATTCTGTATATACTGGATTAGAAAAATCTTCAAAGCTACTGAATAAATCAGGTTACTTAGAAACCATATCCCCAGATAAATTAGCAATTTAGCACATTAATGAAGTATGCTGGAGGGCACTGATGGTAGATATACAAAATGCTGCCTTTATTGCTGGATGCCTTAGTGAAGCTTTTTTCCTACTCTAGCTGTAAATTTGATAAAATAAATGGGAATGGAGCTATAGTGAGAGAATTAAACTGTTTTAATAGACTTGGTCAGAAGCCGAAGCCAGTTCTAGACAGAATCCAGAACCTGCCTACCAAAAACAGGAGCCACTTCAATTAAACAATTCTCTAGGCATTGACTCTGGAGGTTTTGGGGGTTTTTTTATATGTGGATCAACTAGAATTTGCTTTAACAAACTAGTCTTTAAGCCAGAGGTCCTGAGCTCTGAAAGGTCACCTGGACAGTTTCTGCAGCTTAAGCTTTGTCTGTTGCTGCTGCCACCAGCTGTCAGGAATGACTAGGAAAAGGGAAGACTGACGGGTCAAGCAAATTTCTTCTGCTTTCATGTAAAAGTTTTAATAATTTTATACATCTTGAATTTTTAATTGCTATCATGAAGTTTTTTTTAAAAACTTTGATAATTATGGTTGAATGTAAATATTTTCTGTACCTACAAGTGCATTGCAAAATCTGAATACTGTAGTATAAGAACTTGATGAAAAATGTGACTTTTTTTCTGAAAAGCTTTATAGGAACAGACTGTGAAATATGAATGAAATAAAGTGTATGCCTGAAAAATTGTGTGTTGCTAGAATATTGTTAAACTATGGAGTTCTTTATGATAAAATGCTCTCTACAAACACACCTCTGGGGGAATTTTGTGCCACTGTACATGTGCAAAATTCATACATCCTGCAGATAATTCATTCTGCTGGAAAGGCACTGCAGTTACACCTTTTGCCTACCAGGGACTGCTGTGGAAATAGAAAAGAGTGCAGCCAGCTCAGCCAGCCATGGAGAGGGTAGGGGAGAGGCTGTCTTCCTTATAGACCTGTCCACAGGGCCAGATGAGGAAACATGGGATATGGGAGACAGACAGAGCAAGGCACATGGGAATGCTGAAGGGTCATATAGACTGAGATTCAGAATGGCTATTGGGGGGACAGACTGGGTGAGGCTCAGGAGCTCGTGGGGGTGACATTGAGTCTAGGGATGAATGGGCTTGAGAGAGCAGAGCCATATAAAGGCACAGTGGGAGCACATAGGGAATGGGGGCACAGGTAGGAGTAATTAACAGCACTACAGTGATATGCAGCTGGTTCTGGAGCAGTGGATACTAACAAGTGACACGTTATAGCACATCTCTTCAAAAGGTACCACAGGATATTTAATATTAACCTGCGCCTATTTTTTCTCAAAGGGGTAAGGGGCTTGGGAAAAGGAGGTGAAATTAGATTTCTCAAAACATTTGAAAAATGTTGTAGTGAAAAATCTTGCACTGACACAGAAATGGGCTAGGTTATCAAACATATTCTTTATTTCTCAAACTTCCATAATTATGTGACAACTGCAAGAAGCATGTTGTCTATGTGGGGGTAGACACATACATTGTTCACTAACCTTGTTAGCCAAATGTGCAAAAGTTGAAATTGCAAACTGTGAATGTAAGTTATCTCCTCTCAAACAGAAAGCAATACCTTTTTCAGGAGCCAAGAATTTCAGAACCTCCCCAAGAAGGATGTTCTTGGATCATACAGTCTATGCAAGTGCATCCAGCATTCTCAGCCCTGACTTCAGAAAGGTCAAGCTTCCAGATCAGTTCTGTGAGGCAAATTCTGCTCCCAGTTTCCCCCCCTTAGAGTTGCCCAAATGCCAGAAAGGGAACAGAAACTAGTCACTGTCCTGCCAGGGATTGTCCTCCCTTGCAAAAGTCTCACATTCACAGAGGAAGAGTAAGCTGGCTGCTATCCTTTCTTCCTCATGGCCTCTGCTGCAGAAGTGGACAAAGATGGAGTGCAGCCTCTCCCTATCCATAGAAAAGGATGGGGTGGGGTGGTTTGTTTTTGTTTTAAATCAAACTCATAGATTGTAAACCCAGAAGGGACCATTGTGAACTAGTCTAACCTGCAAAACACAGACCCTAGGACTCTGAATTAATTCTTGTTGGAGTTAAACCAGATTTTTGAGAAAAGCATCCCATAGTGATTTAAAAATTGCCAGATAGAGAATCTACCACAGCCCTTGAAATTGTCCAGTGGTTAATTGCTCCCATTTTCTTTCCTTTTTCACTTTTTTTACTTTTCAAAATGTGAATGAATTTGTTTGAATTTGTCTAGTTTCAATTTCAAGGCATTGATACTTGTTATATCATTGTCTGCTAAACTGAGGAGCCCTCTAAATTTCTCTGCCCCATGTAGATGCATACATACTGTGAACAACTCCTTCTTTGGCCTTCTCTTTAAGGTCTTCTCTTTTTAAGAGTCAAGGAGTTCAATCACTATAAGGAATGTTTTCCAGTTCTATCAATATCATGATTTTTCCCTGAACCCTCTGCAATTTATTGACATCCTTCTTGAGTTTTGGGTACCAGGATTGGACATAATGTTCCAGAAGTGGTCACTGCCAAATATAGAGGCAATTTAACTTGTCTCTCCTCCTTGATAACTTCCTGGTTTATGCACTCAAGGATTACACTAGTCCTTTTGGCCATATCATCACACTGGGGCTATGGCTAAACTGTCACACTTTTTTTTTTCCAGAAAAAGATATGCAAATAGCCCTCCACAATTTGCATACCTTTTTCCTATTGTTTTTTTGGAAGAGGCTTTTCCAGAGTTTGGCCCATCTACACTTGGAAAATTTAGGAAAAACCTCCTCTTTCGGAAGATCCCTTCTTCCTCCAAAGAACGCATCTGCTCTACTGCAAAAAAAAAAGTTGGAAGAGCAGATGTGTTCCCTGGAAAAACTCTGTAGTCTAGACATAGCCTGAGAGATCATGTTCAGTGTATTATCTACTAGGGCTTTCCAGACTAGATTCCCATTCCCCCACCCCATGTTATAAGCATGCTCTGCATTCTCTGTTCATAGATGAAAAATTAAATGCATATTGTTTGCCCCATCTTACCAAGTGATTGGATTTGTTCTTATCAGTGACCTATAATTTCCCTAATCTAGCACAAAAACTTGTGGAGAGTCTACACTGTGCATGCGTTCTTGCGCAAATAAATTTACAATAAAGCATCGGAAAAAAGGGCTCCTTGCGGAAAAGTTATTCCTCTCCCCACGAGGAATAAGCCCTCTTGTGCAAGAGCTCTTGTGCAAGAAGGCAGTGTGGACAGGCAACAGGGGTTTCTTGTGCAAGAAACCCCTATGGCTAAAATGGACATCAGAGCTTTCTTGCGCAAGAGAGTGTCCACACTGCCATGGACGTTCTTGCACAAAAGCACATCTCTTGTGCAAAAGCACATGGCAGTGTGGACGTGCTCTTGCACAAGACCTTTTGTGCAAGAACTCTTGCACAAAACAGTTCTTGCACAAGAAGCCTGCGATGTAGACGTAGACTATCAGTAATTATCTTGTTTTCTTCCAGGTCATTGATAAAAATGTTAAATAAAATAGAGGCAAGAACTATAAGACCCCCCACTCGGAACACACACACAGTAATGATTCCTGATATACAAAAAAATTCAGACAAATCAGATAACCAGTTTTAGCCCATTTTTGTGCCATGTTTATTTTATATCATTCTCTTTTCTTAATGGAACTAGCATGCAGTACCAAGACAACTACCTCACAGAAGTCTGTGTGTTACATCAGCATTATTACCTTTATCAATAAAACTTACAATTTCATTTGTTTATATTAGGGATGTAATTGTTTAACCAGTTAACTGATAAGTCTCACCCTGAACTGTGATGGGGGTTGGCTGCTCCAACCATAGGCAAGTGGCTCCACACAGACAGGAGCTGGTCTGGCAGGGCTGAAGCAGCCTCTGTCCATGGCAGAACTGTGCACCCCATAAGCAGGGGCTGTTCTAGCCCAGCTGGTGCAGCTCCTACCTGCAACGGTAGGTGGAGGTGTGGGGAGGGAGAGAGCACTCCAGCAAGGCTGGAATGACATCTCCCTCCTATCTGCCCTCTTCTTGAAATGGCTAACCAGTTAAACATGTATATGGATCTTATAACCCTAGTTTATATACACATATCAAGTTTGATTTAAAGTTCTGTGTTCAATTTGGCTGCCACACACGAGGAAAGATGTTAGTAAAGATGATAAATTGAAGGGAGTCCCAAGGTATATAATAAAAATTATAAAAGGATTAGAAGGTCTGACCTATGAGGAAAAATTTAGAAAATTGTGCATGTTTAGTCCTGAGAAAAGAAGAGTGATGGAACATCATAATGTTCAGATAAGTTAAAGACAATAATAACGACAATAAAAACAAGGATATTGATCATTTTTTTTCTCCATGTTCACTGAATGTAGGACAAAAAGTAATGGGTTTAATCTTCAGCAAAGGAGATGTAGGTTAAATATTAGGAAAAACTTTATCACTATAAAATAGTTAAACTCTGGAATAGGCTTCTGTCATGGTTCCTTCCCCACTCTGGCTCAATACATGCAGGAGTGGGGGCCAGCAAAAGTACCCTGTGACGGGGCGGACAGGCCCCGCACTGATGAGCAGGGGATAGCCCAGGCCCAGCTGGCAGAGAAGGCCCCTCCGACCCTGCTGGGCATGCTCCCAACAGCGGCCGGGTATAAAGGCTGAAGGAGCCCGGCAGTCAGGAAGGCCCCTGGGCGAAGGAGGAGCCGAGGCTGGACCAGTATTCTTGCAGCCGCTGGGTCCCGAGTCGCCGGACCCTGACACGGAGGACGCAGCGGCCGACCCCGGGCGGCAGGAGCGCGCCCACAACCCCGACAGGTACCGCCTGAGAGGCGAAGGGGCCCGGGGGGAACCAGGGCATGGTAGGAAGCAGCCCAGGGCAAGGGAAACAAGATTTGGCTCGGCGTGTATCGGCCGGATCCCCTGCCGAGCCGGCAGGAGCCATAGACCCTGCCTAAAGGGCCCTGGGCTGGGACCCGGTGGAGAGGGAGGGCCCGGTGAATCATCTGTTAAATATCTGTCTGACGGTCTATAGTGAGCCCTCCTGTCATCTAGGCTGCACGGCTAACACACTCTATCGTCATTCTAACTTACAGATTATTTAAGCAAACCAAACAATTAATCCAAGTTGAAAAGCAGCAGCCTCTGGTACCTGAAAATAAAGATGAAGAGCATGAGCAGCATGCAGAAGGTGGCCACGTTATCCATCGTCTTCATCAGGACCACCAGCTGGCGGCGAAGGGCGGGCATGAAGCGTACCAGCTTGAGGACCCTGAGCAGTCGAAAAGTTCTTAGCACAGAAAGGCCTCCATCGGATTGGCCGATGATCTCCCAGACACTATGGGAGCACAAGAAGGAAAACAAGACACTCACTGTCCTTGTCCGACTTGTAAGTAGTTTCATGGACAGGACAAAAAAGTCATTGCTAACGGGATGGGACTTATGAAGGTTGTGGGAGAGGAGAGTTAACTTGTATATTTACCTTTGCAGCCCTACCTTCTTGACCTTAGAGAGATCAGAATTAACTCCCTTCACCATGTATGTTTCATTTACTACCTCTATAGCTATGTCTCATAGGCTATGTCTACACTACACTTGTTTTTTGGAAAAAGATACGCAAATTGCACTCCGCAATTTGTATATCTTTTTCCTACTGTGTTTTTCAGAAGAGGCTTTTCCAAAATTTGGCCTGTCTACACTGGGCCAAATTTCAGAAAAATCTCCACTTTTGGAAGAGCCCTTCTTTCTCATGAAACGAGGAAGACGGGGCTTCCCAAAGAACGCATCTGCTCTACTGCAAAAAAAAAAGTTGGAAGAGCAGATGTGTTCCCTGGAAAAACTCTGTAGTCTAGACATAGCCTGAGAGATCATGTTCAGTGTATTATCTACTAGG